GCGTATTCGATATTACGTACAATTTCGTGTACAGACTTGCAAAGCGCTATCCGCCCGACAATGCTTAATGCTTGTTCAGACATGAACTTGATCACCACTATAAATACTTGATGCCAAAGGCAAACGCATTCATTTGTTTCCGGAATTTCGAAAAAAAGGCGGAATTTGGAAAAAAGTTGTGAGAAAATTTATATCTGTGTTTGCTAGTGCCGGAGAAAAGTAAGTAACCTACCTTTTTTTGTTATAGTACTTAAGTATTTTGTTTACGTGTACTAGTCGGTTGATCACAACGGCCTGTATAGATAGGTAACTTAGTAACTTACAGATATTTTAATTGTCCTCTTTCGATTTGAAGACAAACACAGCACGTTTTATTCAATTGTTTTTCACGAGAGAAACACTGCCTCTCTAAAAGGCCGAATAAGCAATATTGCAGAGCAATTAATTTTGTAATTTTTCTTGCAAATAACTACTAATTTTATAAAACAGTAATTTCATAATCATTTTAAATTGGTTTTGAAGTAACTATTTTATCAAAACTATTCCTTTTCGGAAAGAGCGAGCGGTGCGCGGGCGACGGGAAAAGGGCGGGGTTGGACTTCGATGCCAGTTTGTCACGTTTTAACAATGAAGCCGCAGACAAAAAATACGCAAATACACGGAGCGCGTGAACTCATTGATTTAATAAAATGTTAGTTATCGTTTTTATGGACAATTTTGGGATTTCGACTTTTATTTTTTCCTACACAAATATGATCAGTATTCGATACTGAGTACACCAATTTTTATTTATACTATTAAAAATTAGTGGTAAATTATGTACTTTAAAATTGATACCGTTTTGTGAAAACGTCTGTATTTGTCTCAGCGGTTTATTAGTTGGTCCCTTTACAAGCCGTAATTCTATTTCCGCGTGCTGACAAAGGCTGCGGTGTGATACCTATATTCAGAAAAAAAACTTGGTTACTAAAACATTTTTTTTTACAGGTAAGGTAACTGACACGAAACATGGCTACAGCAAAGAAAAAATGTCGACAATATAGTATCGATTATTTGAAATATGGTTTTGTTCCATCAGAGGCAGACAAACAATTGCCCATGTGCCTATTATGCAACAAAGTTTTGAGCAATGACTCTATGAAACCATCAAAGCTCGAAGATCATCTAAAAAGGTGTCATACTGATAAAATAGGTAAAGATTTAAAATATTTTCAAACATTGAAAGAAAAATATGGAAAGAGACCCACCATGCACAGTATGTTCGCTTCAACATCTCAAAGTAACGATGATGGCTTGCGGGCATCTTACAATATCTCATTACTTATAGCAAAATCTGGAAAACCGCACACTATCGGAGAACAATTAATTTTACCCGCTGTTGAAGAGGTTTTAAAAACTGTTTTGCACAAATCTCCATTTGACGTACTAAAAAGAATTCCATTAAGTAACAATACTGTACAAAGACGCATTGATGAAATGAGCTCTGATATCGAAAGCTTTTTGTGCAATCATCTGCAAAAAACTCATTTTTCTATACAACTGGACGAGTCAACGTTACCCAGTAATGAAGCATTACTATTGGCATATGTCCGATTTATTGTTGAGGAAGAAATTCACGAAGAATTGCTATTTGCCAGAACTTTGGAGACTGACACTAAAGGCGAATCAATATTTAATGTCCTGAGTAATTTTTTTACGGAAAAATCGATCCCATTTACAAACATTATTTCAGTGGCAACAGACGGAGCTCCTGCAATGGTCGGGCGATATCGTGGGTTTATAAGTCATCTCAAAAGAATTATACCAGGACTTACAGCTATTCATTGCGTAATCCACCGACAACATCTTGTGGCAAAACATTTAAGTGACAGGTTGAACCAATCTCTTCATTTTGTAATAAAAGCTGTCAACAAAATCAGAAGCAATGCATTGAATACGCGTTTATTTGCTCAATTGTGCGACGAAAATGATGAAGACTTCCAACGACTGCTCTTACATACTGAAGTACGCTGGTTGTCGAAAGGTGCATGCTTAACGAGATTTTACTCTGTTTTCGATTCCATATTAGAGTTCTTAGAAAGTAGAGATCCAGATTTAAAAGAAAACTTGATCAAATTCAAAGCAGACATTGCGTATTTGACAGATTTGTTTAAAAAATTTAATGATATTAACTTGCAGTTACAAGGGGACAGCCTGAATTTAATAAAAACAAAGGGGATAATTTCGGCTTTTCTTGGGAAATTGAAATTTATGAAGCAAAACATTAGTCGGCGCGAATTCTCTCAATTTCCAAACTTGTCGCAGGTAGAATGTATTGATGAGGATATCCATACCTACAGTCAACATTTAAGTGCTCTGCATGATGACTTCAAAACCAGGTTTGAAGATATACTGACGATGGATATACCACCATGGATCATAAATCCATTTGATGAAACGGAAGTGGCCAATGTTGTATTACAAGAGGAGCTGCTCGAGCTAAGCACTAATGAGGAGCTGAAGGTGAAATTTAGAAAAGGCTACCCAACATTTTGGCTGCAAGCAGAAATACCCGAAAAATATCCTGGACTGTGGGAAATCGCAAGGAAATTTTTAATAGCTTTTCCCTCGTCATACCTTGTCGAAAGGAGTTTTAGTGCGTTACAAACCTCTTAACAAAAAAAAGGAGCAAATTAAACATCACAGAGCGGGGGATTTGCGGTTATTGCTCACAAAAATAAAGCCAAACATTGATCGTTTGCTGACACTCCATCAGATACATCCTTCCCATTAATTAAAATTATGACCTGAACCTATATTACCTTAATATTTTTTCTTGTAATTCTATTCTTTTAATAAATAAAGTGATATAAAATGTACCATTTTTCGTTTTTATTTTACATATCGGAATATAGGGACAGAACTCAGAAGTGACACAATTTTTATTTTTTGGCGACTTTAAGAATGTGGTAGAAATGTAGCAGCAGGGGGTCCACCGAAACCAGTAAAATTTTGAAAGTGGTCCACGAGAAAAATAAGTTTGGGAACTACTGCTCTAAAAGAAAAAGGTGTTCCGGAAAAACTAATTAATATAATCAGGAAACACAGAATGCAATGTGCTGCACAACGGTAGAACCAGCGACAGTTTTAACTTAGGGACAGGAGTAAAGCAGGGTTGCACATTATCGCCGCTTTTATTTAATATCGTGCTCGACAGCGTTTTGACTAAAGACACAGCAAACATTAGGGGAGTACAATGGACTCTGACATTGCATCTGACGGATCTTGATTATGCTGATGATATCTGTCTCACAACGCAATCCTTCAAAGACATGGAAATGATGCTCAGATGTCTAAAAACAGAAGCAGACAAAGTAGGATTAAGCATAAACATCGACAAAACAAAGTCAATGCGCATTAATACAAACAACAACACTCCAATAGGAATCAAACATGTCGAGAATGTAACAGAGTTTACTTACCTGGGAAGTATTGTAACAGCAAACGGTGGCGCAGACGCGGATATTGTCAGCAGGATCAGGAAGGCGCAGCGAGCCTTTGGCCAACTAAAATCAGTTTGGACCTCCCGTCAACTCTCCATACAAACAAAATTAAGAATATTCAATTCCAACGTCATACCAGTTTTATTATATGGCTGCGAGACATGGAGAGTGACAAAAATATCCATCAACCGTCCACAGGTATTTATCAATCGCTGCTTGCGGAAAATACTTAAAATCTTTTGGCCAGACACCATACGTAACACCGACCTGCTTCATCTTACAAACCAACAAGAAGTAGGCAATGAAATCCGCAAAAGAAAATGGGGTTGGATAGGTCACACTTTGCGGAAACCTGATAGTAATATAGCGAGATCAGCGTTGGAGTGGAATCCCCAAGGAAAAAGAAAGCAAGGATGACCTGCTCAAACATGGAGACGTTCCATACTGGATGAGCTTCAACAAGTAGGGTCAACATGGAAGGAAGCAAAAACAACTGCCAAAAACAGAACCCGATGGAGAGCTTTCACTGAAGCCCTTTGCTCCGCGTAGGAGATATAGGATCCTATAATATAAATAACTAATTTAACTTTTCTAATATGTCTTGAAAACCTTTCCCTAAAAAACGCAACATTCACCGGTCAACGTATCCTCAAAAATGTATGGTCAAGAAAAGTTAAACCAATAATAATCCTACACACTTTTCTTCAGTTGAAAAATTTATACTTACAATTTTTGTTCATTTTAAGTTACAAAGTTTGGATGTGACAGTTTTATATTTCTTAGAGCAACGACGATTGAACTTGTTTCCATGGCTAACTAAGTGAGATTGTTTAAAAATTATAAGAATTAGCTATAACTCAGTAATTTTTCGAAGAAAACATATTATAGCTTATATTGCCGTAAAGCTTAAAAAATGGCGCTTTTTATGAAGTCATGGCCAACTATGGTTTCCATTTAAAAAAAACATATGTTTGTGTCATATGTCAAAAATGACAGGCTTTAGAGAAAAACAGAGGACACAATCTTATTAAGGATGTGATTATCTACAACTTTTATCTGAAAACTTTTTGTCTAAAATAGCTTATAATGGAATTAGGGACAATTTTTAGCCGAAATTTGTTTTTTTCGAAATATCTAGTAGGTAAGCCATGAACTTTCTCAAAAATCTAAAAGGCGCATATTTATGACCCCGCAAAACTGCAATTCTTTCCCCATTTAACCGACTCTCTATCTCTAGTAGTTTCCGAGATACCCATAGAGAACATCGTAGGAAACTCGCCCTGTATAGTAGTTATTTGAATTGGACATTATTTTAGAATTGGGTATACAGTTTTTAAAAAATACACATCCTGTAAATATAATTGTTCCTTCAACCACAACACTACATTACTGCTCGACCAATAATATAAAAATTGAATTATTAAATGTAGCAAAAGTAAACTTAGTTATTAAACCATATACAAATTACCTAGGTACATAACTAAATAAATATTTATTTACAAAATGTTTCTGACTTACCTCGCTCTTATCTAATCGGCTTAAATACTGATCTTGGAGCACTTTCTCATGTAACACCCTAGCCAACGCGCCCCTAGGCCGAAAATTTGTCCAGGGCCCCAAATCATCACATTTTTCCGTTCTAGTCGGTGAGTTTTCCTGATTATTTTCTCGAATATTATCGCGCGAGCCTTGACAAACACTTCCAGCTTCCATTTGGACGAATTTCAGTCGATTTTATTCGCGAAAATCGGATATTTAATGAAGAAACAATCGGTTAAATCTGTATAAGTAAATAAACACTTAAAAATCTGTTAGAAAACAGTAAAAATCTGGTAAATTGTAAACAAAAACAAAGCAAGTTCACTCACCGGTGCGACAATTCTCGTCAGCTGTTCGCAGCGTTGCCAATAATGTAGCCACGTTGAATTAAAGAATATGTAAAGGTATTTTTTAGATCCTTACAAACATTATAATAATAAATATAAAAGCAATAACGATTAGGAAACGTTATTTAGTTTATTATTTTTCAAAGATCGATGCATTTTTTAAATAAAAATACAGTTAAAAAGTATATTTCGGGAAGCAGTAATGCTAATATTACACAGTCGGGCAACGTTGTTCGACGCTACAGCTGATATGCTGGCGCATGATTTGAAACCGTATCTGTGAGTTGCGGGAGAGTTGGCCGGCAGGAATATATTAAACAAGAATAGACAGCCGACAGCACTAGATAGAATGAAGACTGAATTGGAATGGATTTTCTCCATAAAGGGAAAATATAAGTATACTTCCAAAATTAGTGTATATTTATTCGAAAATCATATAAGGAATGTTGATAAAAGTTCAATTTTGTTACAATATTTTGTTTTCTACTATTTTTTCTGCAATATTTTACTACTTGAGGTAAGATAAATAGCATAATATTAACAATGAGAAAAGTCAATACCTACGTAAATATTTCCAAAAAATTTCTATTTAGGATAACAAATGGTACAAAGTTTTACAAATCATCTTCTCAATAGTAGTACGTCTATGAAACATGGTATATTCATTTCATTATTCTTATTACATTACATAAGAAATAAGAAACTGTCGAAAATTAGACAGAAACCATGCCAGAGATATTTGTCTTGGTGCAGCCTGAATGAAAACTTCATTTTTAATACAGAAGTTTTTCACAATTAGGTACTATTTGAATGTGGTGCTCGATTTTTTGTGCAATAAAGGTAAGTCAAATTTTCCAATATTTGTTCTTTAATATGGATCTTTTATTGATCAGGATTGTAAAAAACAAGATTATTCTTACCTACAGTAAACAGTAAATTAATGGTTTCATGGTTGTTCACTAAATTTAATAAATTATTTCAAATCTAGTTTCTAATGGGACTGATTCGATATATAAATGAATACAGGTTGAGTTTTTTGATATCTATAGGTATCTCCGAAACTAGTGAAGAAGATTCAATCAAATGAGGAAAAAATTGCAGTTTTGTGAGGTAAGATTTAAAAATTTGTGGATTACTAGATATAATTTGAAAAATAAAATTCGGTCATTATAAAGTATTCCCGAATTCCGTTAAAATCGATTTTAGACAAAAAGTTTTGAGATAAAAGTTGTAGATAACTAAAGGCTTAATGAGACTGTGTCCCCAGTTTTTTTCTAAAACCTGTTATTTTTGGCATATCAAACTTATTTTTTTAATGGAAACCATAGTAGGTTACGACTTCATAAAAAAACGCCATTTTTAAGCTTTAAGTAATTATAATTATATACGATTAATTCAAAGTTTATGAATTATAGTCAAACTTCTTTAATATTATTTTGCATGACCCGAAAAAAAATAGAAGGATAACCTACAAAAAGAAATAAGATCCCATCAAAAACATAGAATGTAAAAAAATGCCAAGTCTCGCAACACGCTCCGCTATAAAAAGTTGTGAGATCTCATGTAAAACCAAGTCAGTTTATTTTATTTAGTCTCTTTTTAAGCACCTATTCAATAATCTTGTTATAAATTGTTAGTATCAATATATATCATCTTTATTTTTATAATAATTATAATGATAATAATTATAATGACTTGGCACTTCTATAGCAAATAAAAAACTTTATTCTTAGTTGCACCGTTTAGATTTACTTAGTAATCGAAATAGTAGCTTATTCTTTTTTATTCTTTTTTCAAGTTAATACGAACATATTCGTATATAGATCTCACATTTCTCCTATTATGGTGATCAATCGGCCAATTACTGGTTTCTCAATAATGAAGTGAGGTACAAATCAATATGGAACACTTCAGATATCCAATTTAGGAAAATAAACAGCTCAATGACAGTTCTTAAATTTAGAATCTACAAAATATGCGTGCTGTTTTGACATATAGGTACTACAGAAACAAGGGCCGAAACAACAGTAACAAAGATTAGAGAACAATATAGAATATAGAATATTTAGGGGCAGGTTAATCACCGCGACCTTACAGATTATAACATTATTGTATTATGTTTTTCCCTTTCTTGATTTATAACGAGTTATAACTCGTCTCATATACTCTCTCATATCATACAGTCTCAAAGCTTTGACATAAGCTAGTAACTGAGACGGCTCCACAGAGGCCATCAGTTCTCGATCTCCGACATTAGCCGTACCAAAGTTTATCGCTCGAACGGTTGTCGTCTCGGCGCACTCAGTGATGAGGTGTTCTCATGGTACAAAGAATACAAGGTATGATATTGCGCAGGTTGGTTGCTACGTCACAGGTGATAACAGGCGCTATTGGTCAGCACGCCTCGCGCGCCAGTTCAAATCGTCAAGATATTGTTATAAACCTGTTTTTTTTTTGTTTATATACCGTCATTGAATTATCGCTAAGCAAGTTACTGTGGAGCAGTGCATAAGGAGTCGGGCTAGGAAGCGAGAGACCGGAGTTCGAATCTCGGCCGGAACATAACTTTTTATTTATTTTTTTAAATACTGTTGTATTCTATAGTTTATTTTGTAGTATAGAAAAGAACTATTTATTCTGTGATTTTTTAATCTCCGGTATTAATATAAATTGATTGTTGGTACAATACCTCATTTAATATAAAATAATATTCTACTTTTGAAATGTATCGGGCCCTTATTGTACCTAAAAGTAAAATATATTTTTAGTGATATACCATATTGTAAACTATTTAATATTTCAGTCACTTAAAAGTTAATTTGCATTGAATAATTGCCTACCATTAAAGGAAATTTGAGCTATATAATCCTTGATGCGCATCTTCCTCTAAATTTCGGGTTTCGTTCAACCGATTTATTCTCAAAACCTGAAACATCTACATATAAAAAGAAGCACAGGTTACTAATTATAATAAACTTCACCCTTGGAATTACTTCCACTAATTATAATAAACTTCACCCTTGGAATTACTTCTATCACAATTACAATACATTCATCTGCATTGGCATTTTCTACTGTTCGATGGGAAACAATAAACTTTCCAACAATTTTTAAATGATGTAACAATTCCTCTTGTGGTTACTTTTCCATAGATATCCTCATCTCTGTCCTCATGTGAATTCAGAGGCAATGAACATGAAAATTATTTACCATAAACATCGCAAATTAAAACCTAATAAACAATTTTATACCGAATATAGAAATAAATTTAGTATTCTTACCTATTATCGTCCAAATCCATGTTAATAGATAATTATTATTTTTAAATATATTTTTGGAACTGCTGGTTTTAGTAATTATTAAATTAAACGAACTAAAAAGTCTTAAAAATAAACAATTCTTAGCCATAACCCCAAAAAATACAGATCACAGAACAGATACAGATCTCCTGTCAACTTTCTTTATTTTTTATTTATTCATTGTTTTCCTAGTGACGTCACAGGTGGTATGCGCGAACTGAACGAAATTGGAGCCGCTATCGATCATACCTTGTATTCTTTGTACCATGAGGTGTTCTGGTGTTTTCCGATTTTCCCTACAGAATCTGCATTTGCCGTTGTTTCTCAGCTTCAATCTACTGAGGTGTTTGTGGAGGAGACAGTGTCCTGTTAGAAACCCCGTGACAAGATTGTTCTTACTTAAATCAAGGAAAATATTTAATTTTTCTCGGTCGTAAGTTCTGAGAAATGTTTTCAAGTATCTTAGACGGTTGGTGGAATTTCCATTCCAGGTTACGGATGGAGTCTTCCAGGTTTTTGAGTTCCGCTTTAAGTTGATTTTCTCTTGGAAAGCAGAACGGTTCTGGTTCAGTTAGTGGAGTGTTCGCTCCTTTTCTAGTTAGATCGTTTGCTTTTTCATTGCCTTCTATCCGTTGGTGAGCGGGCACCCAAAGTAGGAGGACTTTATTTTCTTTGCCTAATTTGTTCAGCTTCTTTAGACATTCTTTGACTAACTTCCAATTGATGGTTGCTGAGATCGAGCTTTGTCGCCAAATCCCAACAGCACTTTTTGAGCGGTTGTACTAAGCAAATATACTCAAGGTGGTTTGTTATTGCCTTCCTTGAGAAAAAGAAAAAAAATCGGTTATGAGTATAAAGACCAGTAATCAAATATGAATATTGGTGGTATGAATACTGATAACGGTTATACACACTGACTGATAGACAATTAAAAACAGGCATACGAACAGTGCCATACAAGTGCCAAGATTGGTAATATAGACCAAGAGGTCCAAGGTAAGATGACCAAGGAGAGAATGGAACCAGCATGTCAACAGAATTCCTCCCCAGGCAATGACCAACATGGAATGAAACAATGTTCAAAACTGAAGACCGACGCGACGCCGACGGTGTGACCCAAAATGTTTGATTGCAATCAACCTCATAGGACTTACTACAGCGAAACCGAAACTCAACATGCGATTAGTCTAAAAGCCTACAAGATATTTAGTTTCAAACCAGCGTATAATATGGCATGATCATCAGAGGAGGACAACCTCATTGCATGTGGTTGTTCTCTTCTGATGACGATATCCTTGGCATTTCACATTGTAGCTCCAGTTTAAAGCACATTAAAATTAATCGAATTCAAATCGTTCCCTAATGGTTTTTCCCGCGATTTTTCCAATGGATATTCTTATTAGGCTCTCTCTCTCTCCCATGCCCGGATTTTTCCTCGCCGGCTCCGGCTCCAATTAGGGCCACGGGTGTCATCGGAACTATGGAAATTGACGCTGATTGCGCTGATTTATGACGATAAGACTTTATTAAATCAAAAGCGATGCAGATTGAAAGAGAATTTGATGTTTGATAAATATTGGAACCCATATCAAGGAAGAAATATTGGAACCCTTATCAGTAAAGTACGAAACTTTTATTAAAATTAATTTAATTTGCACGTACACTAATACTCCAGCTTTGAAAA